AGCTTTTGAGGATCCTGCTTATGATTTCTACCTCCTAAAAGTCACTTCCAATGGCGTGGAAGAGCTAGAGGAGCCAATGACTGATGACTATTCCTGCCAATACCCTAGTGGCAGTGCAGTTCTCAAAGGTCTCTTCTTTTTAAGGGAAAATCTTCAAGATATGACCTACACTCTTGACACTAAACGTCTAGCTGTAGTTTATGCGGGGACAGTACGTGCTATATGTACACATCTTTCTGTGAAGAAAAAAAATCGAAATAAGCCAATCTACAAGCTGTCTATGCAGCAACATGAAGAGATCATTGGATCAATGTAAATCTTGTACATATTTGTTTATCATGGTAAAAAAAAATCAATGATTTTGTTAAAACCTGTAAATTTGTGTAACTGACCACTCCCGCAAGGTATTATGGGTAATTAAAAATTGCATTTTATCTCTTCTCAAATTGCAATTAATTAAAAATATAAAATGATATTGCCATCTAAGACTAAAATGCATTGAATAAAACAATAAAGACAAATTTCCTGATGATTTTGATTTTTGACCCGGTGTTACACAAATGGGAGGGGTGATTGTGCTACTCATCAACTGTCTGATGGTTAATCTTGCCTAAATCTAATCATAACCCAGGAAATCAAGCAGCTGATGAATGCTTACAGATTCTTCAGGCAGGAGGTGAAGCACGAAATTAGACTTGCCGAGAAATTGTACATGTGCACAGAACTCCACAACAGCAAAGAAAATTTGAATGCAATTTGGAATGGAAATCAAAAAAAGGGGGCCTTCTTTCCTTTTTCGTCTTCAGGTGTGGATGATTCCTAATTTTCCTTCTCATTCCAAATTTCACCATGTTACAAACCCCTTGTCATTCTACACATCTTGCAGGTGTGCAAGTGTTAAATAATCCGGCAAAGTATGGATAATGTCCCACTAAGTGTTCCCCCAGCTTTGAACCTCTTGTCATTCTTTACTTAGTTCCACACTTCTGTGTGGAAGTGTGGAAGTGTGGAATAGTCTGACAAAGTCAGGATAATGTCACACTTTTCCCCCAGTCCCGAACCCCTTGTCATTCTCTGATCCNTAATCCGGCAAAGTATGGATAATGTCCCACTAAGTGTTCCCCCAGCTTTGAACCTCTTGTCATTCTTTACTTAGTTCCACACTTCTGTGTGGAAGTGTGGAAGTGTGGAATAGTCTGACAAAGTCAGGATAATGTCACACTTTTCCCCCAGTCCCGAACCCCTTGTCATTCTCTGATCCAGAGGAAGTGGTGTATTTCCCTTTAACGTTTTCAATAAAAGGGTCATTCTGGGCGACCAGATATCAGGATGCCCTGAAAAAGGCTGTGGACCTAAAAGCTAATGGGGTTTATGTCCCTTTTAGAGCCTCCTTTCAACTGAGCAAGACTTTGACAGTGCAGTTTGGCTGGTCACTGGGTACTGTGGAAATGAGAAAATTACCAAGCTTCCAAAAGCAATAAAAAGGGATGAAATCATATCTTGTTAGCTCTGTTGTACAAGAAGCAAGTGGATTTCAAAGATCACTGAATTTAGGCTATTTGGCTATTACTAAGAAAGACAGGTGGGACAGAAATGACAACAACAATCAGTGTAACAGTGACTTGTCATTTCTGCTTGAAGGTTGAGCTGGAAAGTTATAGAAATTGTACACATGAAGATGCTACAAATTCAACTCCTTGTAGCTTGATTGTGTTACATATTTGGTGGGTAGATTTGAAATTTCCATGCTCTTCCCCACCACCCTTTTCATTGCTTTACTTCTCCAAGCAGCTTCCACTAAAACTATTTTTTTAAAAACAAATGACAAAAACGTACCTTGAAACATTTTAGAGGGCATTTCACTTTATGACAAGCAAAATTCCTTAACTAGCAGTGAAGCCTGTACTTGGCCAACATCCATGGGAACGTAACTAGTGTCTACATAAATGGAGGTTGCCTCTATCACAAGTCTTTAGGAAGAGTGATGCACACTTCTGTCATACTTCTTATTCTCAAGTCGTATTAAACAAACCGTGATTACTTTATTCAGGTTTCACTCTATTATTATACCAAAAATATCTTTATACTTAAGAATGTGCTTTCATTAGTTAACACTTCTCGATTATTCCATTATCCTTAATCTGGGTTACTTTACATATATATTGCATAGTAACAAACTTGAAAGGACATCAGAAAAGAAACCAAAATGTGCCCAAATTGTTGTGAAGCCTTCACAACTATACACGATATGACATCTCATATCATTCCAACAATTGAAAAATGTCCAGACCAAATGTGCCTTCTCAGAGTTTTAGAATCGTCTAAATCATCGTTTTAGAATCAGTAAATGAACCTTTTTTTTTTCATTTCCGAAAAACAGCCTGCCTTGAAGAGGGCTCAGATGTTACCTCTTCAGACAGTGACCTGCAGCATTTTAGCGATTATGCGCACAGTGCTAGTAGTGAAGCACAGGAGCAATATTCTAGTGAGGATGATAATGGTGATTTGCCAACCACTGAAATAAACACTGAAAAGAAACAAGATAACTTTGGCATAAGCAAGCAGATTAAGGGGTGCCGATATTAAAAGCATAGCGTAGATACAAATTATGGCATGGCTAGTGTAACAGGACCATCAGGAGAAAGCAGAATTCTAAAGTGCACAGGGTGCAAAACACGTATAGAGGAACACTACTGAGGCATCCCAGTAAAATACTTCGTAGGCTTTGAAAAGTTCTCCCTAAAAAAGGGAAAATAATGACACCTCTTCTACAATGGAGGGCACAGTCATCGCTGACTTGACAGCCGAATTAGAGGCTTTGGAGCGTCAAGAACAGGAATGGTTGCGCCAGGAGGAAGAAATCCAGCTAAGGAGAAGAATTTCAAATAAACAAAAGGCCATTGAGGATCTCCGACAAGCCAGTTTCAAAAATCTTCCCACTGATGACTACACCTCTTGATTGATGGTCAAAGATCTACCAAAGGTGGATTCAAGGTGTCCTGAAAGCAGAACTTCCCTGGACGATCTCTTGGCTAGTTGGGATGTTGCGCCTTCACAGCCAGCATTATCTACAGAAAATGGACCAAATAGACCAGGTTTTCCAACGCCCCAGAGTATGTGGTCACTAGAAGCACCGCCTCTCATGACCCTTCAACAGCTGGAATGTTTCTCGAGCCAGAGGTTAGCAAAGGGTGAGAAACCTATACTGATTGTAGGCTTTGTAAATAACATCGTTCCCCAAGAAGAAGAAGAGACTTTGGGCAGCCAAGGGAACGCTAAAATTGTAGTCTCTTATGGGCCTAAGAAACCCAAATTTGAATCAATATCAATCCCTCAGTGGGTGGTGGCAAATACACGTATTTTCAATACTTTGCTGTTGGAAGGAAAATTGCCAACTCCTTCAGCTATTCAATAGTATTTAGCTTGTACTGTTAGGATGAGGAGCTAATAGCTAGATATGAATAGAAATCAATTATTATGCACAACAATGAATTTAGAAAATTACTGGCTATTTATAAATTTTCCTGGAGTTTCGACTCTACGTCTTTGCATACAGTTTTACTTCACCCATTTACAAACCTAACCCACCCACGATCACTTCTTATCCATCAGCACCTAATACTCTCCAGCACATCACCTTTGTAAGCTCTATGCCCGAGAGCAGGGTTATCTGTCGTAATTTTAACAGGCCAAAGGGTTGTTCATTTCCTCATTGCAATTAAGCTCATGTTTGTAGCCGCAAGGTAGCTAGGAAGGCCTGTGAACTTTCCCACCCTGGGTTCTCTCAAATAAAGGTTGTCGAGTTCCCAAGCAAACAATCTCCTTAATTACAACCCCTGCAACATAGTCCCCTAAAATGCAATCTTTGGCGTTTAGAATTGAGAGGAGATGAAGGTAATACATTCCTCTGCGATAGCATATGAAGTGGCATTACATTGCTGGATCCTGGCATGTGCTTTTCTGATATTTATAAGGCTAATTATTAATCAGTGATTAATCCCACAATCAGAACTTTGGTGGAAAAAGCTATATGGCATGAGATAGTATTTAGCAATTATGTCGTTTCGCCTACTAAACCACGCATTGTACGTGCTTTAGGAGCTATTCCTAAACCAAGTTCTTCCGAAACAAGACATCCATAATTACTCTTGCCCACATGGGCAGGTGGTGAAGGACTACATCACCACCAATTCATTTGCATTTCAAACACTTGAAAAGAATACCTGGATTGACAGTGTTTTTCTTGGAAAATGGGTTCCAAAAATTGACAGCAAGATGAAAGTAGCTAATCTGCATATCCTGCTATTTATTGAAAACTGTACGGTACACGTCAGTTCTGGGCCTCAAAAACACAAGATTAATTTTCTTCCTGGCAAACTGCACAAGTAAGCTTCAGCCGGAAGACCACGGAGTAATACAGAATCTGAAAGTCCACTATTGCCAGACAGTAATACAAAGGATGCTGTTCAAAAGAGCTTGCAGAGCTTGCCCGGGCAACATTTTCAATTTTAAAAAATGATCCGCGTGAATGGTCAGTGTAACCAGGCAGGAAGGGATTACATCATGAAAGATTTTATGGAAGTTTTGTTAAACCCTGATCTACAGGATTCGTTTTTAGGCATTTTTGACGGCCACGGGGGCCCAGAAGCGGGCGATTTCGCCAGGAACCACTTATGACATCCGTAAAGGCCAGATTAGAAGCAGTAGAGGCTGGAATTCTTGTTCCATTTCCTCAACCTGAATTTTCACCCATGTTGATAGCCTGTTCTGTTTCATACCCCCAATTCGCCACAGAATCCCCACTGCAGCATTCCCAACCCGAAACATCAACCCTCGCCGACACACAGCCAACACCACTAACGCCAACTCACCTTCCGCAAACTCTACCGAGCATCTCACCAATAAGTGTATACAGCCTACCAGACGAAACCGCAGTTAAGCTCAAGGAAAGCAGAATGAAGTCAACAACACGAAAGAAGTATACACAGAAATGCTTAGGGGAGATTTTTACTCAAGATGAAATTGTTGCCTCGAACTTGAGTGGCACCAAGGATAAACAGAAGTAAGACGAGTGCAAGATTAGATCGATTTTCAGTGAGTACATTATCAAATCAACTTCATGATCAATCCGAGTTAAAGATGGCAGACAATTTATTCAGATTATTGTTGGTATCACTGATTCCATGTAAAAATAATAACCTTTCTTAGTTTTAGGAAACAAGACCATAACTTGTTTAAGCGAAGTAACAAGCTCCTGTTCAAGGCCAAGAGAGAACGAATTTCTAGCATTTCAACTATTTAAAAGAGCAATGAAAAGCTGATAAGCACCATGCGATTTTCTTTTACTGGTCAAGTTAATAATCACCCCTCTTCTTCATTTAGAATTAGAAAGTTTGGTGCTTGTCGCATTTCCTGTTATGGAAACTGAAAACTAAACGCAGGTGTGCAAGGAGATAGCAGCTACAATAAACATGAAGTGCAGAGAAGTGAGAAGAGATAGACAGTCTCCGCAAACTAGTCACACTTCTTAATTTTTGCATTATTCATGAATGACAAAAATACCTCTATGCAAACTTTCTTTGACTACCATAACAAATTGACATAATCAAAAAATTACATTTTGTCACATATTTTTGCAAACTTTATAGCTTTCTCTTTTCATTTTTCTGAAATCCTCAGAGATGCTGAATAGCTGAACTTTTACCAGTTTGAAGACCTGAAGCCTATCGTCATTCATCTTTTAAACAATGACATGTGAAAGCTTTCGTTCAAAGAGTAAAAACGATGACCTTTCCTCACAAAACAAGACACCTGACTTTTTTATAAATCACACCAGCCCGCAGCCAATGTGAGTATCATGTAGTGTTAAGCTTATGTTATGGCTCATTATTACCTCCCATTTTAATTTTATTTTCCTACATTTCAAACTCATTATTACACATAAACATCACCCAAAAACAAAGGAAAAAATTTGAACCAGGGATAAAACTGAATCACAACAAGTCCGACTACAGTATTTCCAATCTATGACACAAAACAATTTCAAATACCAGTAGGTGGACGAAACGTGGATACCGGTACTCAGTCACTATGTATTTACAAAGTTTCGTACACCACTTTCAGGGATACAGCTATATAGCTTAATGTCATTGGCCAGAATCTATGGACCAATAGAAAAACAGGCGCGCATTTTCGATCCGTTAAGCGTTATATAAACGGCTGTAACCTCTTTACGTTACCACTATCCATGAGATATACCTCTAGCAACTGACGAGATTCCCTAGTAGAATCGAAACTGCAGTCTTGCTTCAGCTTTTACATCTACATATGGAATATTCAATTCTCACCAAAGACGGTCAACTTAGACCACCTCAGCCAGAAGAAACAGATGAGTCTCCAATGGACGCTGAAGAGGAAAATCTACTCCTTGACGAGACAGAAGGTGAAGGAAACGAAAGCGCCATTACTGACGACTCTGAAACTATACCTGACTCTCAACCTACCCGCCAGAAGACAACAAGAGTTCCTAGAGAACAGTACCATAACGATAGAAAACGAAAACGGGACCAATCTAACGATCAGACCCATAACGGCAAAACACCACGCAGAGCCGCCGAAGCCGCCTCCTTAGAGACAAAGATTGAAAAATCAGAGACAGCCATCACGAAACTGAGAAAACACATGAAGGACAGAACATGTCCAAAGACACTAAGATACAACGTGCGTGCAAATATCACGCCAGACGAAGAATTTAAACGAGAAATAGGCTCGATTAGAAAAACTGCCGAACAAGAGTTCATTCACTCGTTAGCGAAGTTTCACCAAAGACGCATTGATCGTCTTCAGAACAAACGAAAAAAGGTTGAGAAGGATAAGCCTCACTTCAGGAAAGCGACCAATGTTGTTCAAACTAGAGAGCATAAGACGCCATCGGCGACTAGAGAAAACAATGTAATGAAAAGCACTGATGTAATTAAGTTAGCATCAGACCTCCAAGCTAAGTTCGACAAGTTCTCACAAATGATGTCAAAGTTTACTGATATTGAGAATAAACAAAGTGAATCGTATCCCAGTGTTCTCTCTGTTTCTAACAAGGGAAAAGAGAAGGGGATAAATAGTAAAACACTCACTGAAAGAAATCACAGGAGAAGAAAGCGGAAAAATGTCAAACACATTAAGCTATATAACGAAGCCATAGAGACACGCAAAAAACACATTAAGAACCTCTCAGACACAGAACTAACAACAGAGCAGATCAATTTACTCTCTCGGGGTTTGAAATTCATTCCAACTCCTGTCATGAAAGAAAACCAGATAAGGAGCCAACTAATTTCAGACTTTAACCAATTTGCCAGAAGGATGCGCCTCAAATACATTTATCATGGCAAAGATACTGTACCACACCCCTTCCATGTGAAGTCTAGTTGGATTCCCCCAGTTCAACGGTCAGTTGCTCTAGAATCCTATTTAGAGGAAGTCAAACTACGGCTAACAGAAGTGCCACTAAATAAACCTAAAAACAATCTGCCGCCTGGGGAGCGCCGAGCGCTCCGTGAACTTATTCAAAACAAAGAAATAATCCTTAAGAAAGCAGATAAAGGCACAACAACCGTCATAATGAAAAGAGAGAACAAAATAAATGAGGGACAAAAACAGTTGGATGATAGAAACAACTATCAACCTTTGGAAAAACCAATGGTTAAGGACACATCCCAGAGAGTTAAACACCTCATTAACACTCTACATAACGAAGGTTTCATTGACGAAATGACAGTAAAATGGTTTAACCAGACACCAGATCCGCCACGAATTCCAGTATTCTACACTCTCACAAAAATACACAAACCGACTTTAGTTGGAAGACCTATCATTTCGGGGTGCGATGGCCCCACAGAACGCCTCTCATCATTTGTAGACAAGCTACTTCAGCCAATAGCACAAATACAAGACTCGTATCTTAAAGATACGACACATTTTATAAGATTTATCGAAAACACTAGGGTGCCTAGTAACGCTTTCTTAGTCTCAATGGATGTCACCAGCCTTTACACGAATATCCCACAGGAGGAAGGAATTACTATAGTATGCAACGCATACGAAAAATTTCATGACAAAAACCCTCCTATAGCTACACACCTGCTTAAAGAAATGCTCAGTCTTATCCTTAAAGAGAACTCTTTCCATTTCAATGGGAAAGACTATCTCCAGACTCACGGAACTGCTATGGGCACGAAAATGGCAGTAGCTTTTGCCAACATTTTTATGGCAACAATAGAAAAGGAGATCTTAAAACAAAGCAGAAGGAAACCACTAACGTGGAAAAGGTTTATTGACGACATATTCTCTTTGTGGGACACAAACAAAGAAGATATAGATCTTTTCATTGAGCAAGCCAATTCTTTTCATCCTACAATCAAGTTCACTGCTGAAATATCACAAATTGAAACCACATTCTTGGACACGACAGTCTATAAGGGAGAGAGATTTGAGAAAGAAAGAATTCTCGACGTGCGCACACATTTTAAATCTACTGAAACGTTTCAGTACACTAACTTTAACAGTTGCCACCCACCAGGCGTTAAAAAAGGTTTTGTCAAAGGAGAGGCTCTTAGACTTCTAAGAACTAACTCTTCTAAAGTCATATTTGACAAGAATATTAAAAACTTTAAAACACGCCTTATCTCGAGAGGCTACCCAGAGAGTATGGTAGAAAAGATCCTCTCAGAAGTTAAATATGCAGATAGAGCGACAGCTCTGACACAAAAACAGAGAGCGCAAAAAATACTTTTACCCTTTGTCACGCAATTTCAACCGTCATTACCAGGTTTGAAAAACATACTAATGGCAAAAATGGCATTTAATAGAAAACCAGCCACTACTCAGAGAGATATTCAAGGAACCTCCCTTGATCTCTTATAGAAAAGGAAAGTCGCTTAGAGACATGCTTGTTAAAGCAAAACTGTAAAGGCTTATAACAACACAACGGTCACACAGCAGGAGCCGCACAGGTCTGTCAACCCCATTTTACCATGCTTCATTGCCTGGTATTCTGTACTTACTACTCCCACAATTCAATTAAAAAGTTGCTCTTTGCGATAATGAAATGCGTAAAACATGCAACTCCCCATGTTGCGCTGTTTCTCGTCACAAAACTCCATCTGCCCAACCCAACACTAGTAATCGTGTGCCTGTTTAGCATGTTTAGGATATCAAAAAGGTTCATAATTTTATGGAGTATTCTGCGATAAAAAATTTCAATAAGGTAAAAATAGAAATCTCATGAAAGTCAAAGTCCATATAATGTAATTATTTAGTCTTTCGATCAGTTAGTGCTGACTTTTTTTGCAGAGAGAGGGCAAAGTTCTTCACTTTGCGCCGATTGAAATGCAATGGTCGTTCTAAGGACAAGACTAAAGTATTTACCAGCATCAAACAACACTGTAGACTTCCACATTTATTCACGACCAAAAAGAGATTTTTCTGGATGTATTTTTTTATTAAGATTGTCATTAGTAAACACCATGTGATTGTCACGAGGCAAAAACGACATAAAGGAAAAGAAAACATACCTATGCTTTGAATCATCAAGTTTCACATACAGGCAGGTTCTTTACGACTATGCCAATGGGGTACATTTTTTGAGATAAATGATTTTTAAAACAGACAACAACCCTTTCATATGAAATATGGCCTGTTTCACATACAGGCAGGTTCTTTACGACTATGCCAATGGGGTACATTTTTTGAGATAAATGATTTTTAAAACAGACAACAACCCTTTCATATGAACGTGAAAAGTGATCATAATGTCACTATCACCACACTGGAATGTAATTTGAAGCAAGACAGAACCCTCGCATGGTTTTCTAAGTTAAAGTTCTACTAATCATGCGATAATTGAACTTGTTGATAAGATAACAAAAACCATTGAAATTGAACATAAATTCACTGTCGGGGTAGTGCTTGATTTACCAAAAGCATTTGACGCGGTAAATGATAATATCCGTTAATAAAAAATTACTTTTCCAAACAAATTGGTAAGTATAAGATAAGGTCAACAGAAAAA